AATGAAATACAAGCACTTTCTAATAAATCTGAACAACAACAATTAGCAACAAAGTATGGACTTTCATTAAATGAAAATATTCTTAAAGATATTGCATGGAATTGTCATTTGCAAACACTACATGATATATATCATGCGATAGCAGGTACAACAATAAAATTACTTGATGCAACAATGAATATTTTTAATAAAAGTGGAGAATCTGAATGGTTGAATCATTGGAAAAAAATAAAAAAACCTACTTGGTGGTCAAAGATGCCAAATCCATTAACTCATCGGCATTCATTTTCATTTTCTGATACTTTAAAATTAGCAATGATTATGCCATTTATTTTAAAATGCTTTTTAAATATTAAGCATATTAAAAATACAGAAATAAATATTTTAAAAGAACAACTTAATGAATCTAATACACTAATTCTAATTAAACTTATTGAATGCTGGACAACTGTTTCAAAAGCTCTTAAGATTACATTTTCAAAAAGTTTTACTCAAGAAAAATATAAAATACTTCAAAATATACTAAATGATGAAATATATTGGTAAGTAAATTAATATAGATAATAGTAATAATTTATTTTTTAGAACTAATTTTAATTTACTTTTAACTCAGATATTTTCTAATATTTTTAAAAATCTTCCGAATGTTCATATAAAAATGCATTTATTTCAACATGCTCGTAACTTTGGAACTTTGGTAAATACAGCTGTTGGAATAAAAGAATTAGTACACAAAACATTTAAAAATATGGTTCAACATACAAATAAAAAACAAATTGAAAGAGATCTTGTTTATCAATATAATATACTTCAAGCAATTCGATTGATAATTGATGGTGAAAATGATTCCCGATTTCCTAATTATAACTGTAAGCTTGCTACAATGAAATTTGATACATGTATTTCTCAACTGTGTTCAGAATGGTATGCAGTTAATGAAATATCTGAACTACAAGAATCTGACTTAGATAATACTTATACAATATCACAAGAATCAAATTTTACCAATATAATTCTTTATGGAAAATGGTCAATACAACAAGTAAAAAAAGCAAACTTTGAAACAAAATTAACAATAACAAATCCTCTTCTTCGAGATCTTATGAATACATATTCTAATGATTTAAAAATGTCTGCTGCAATAATTAATATGAGAATTGAATTTTATAATTATATTACTTATAAAATTCTGGATAATGACAGCAATTATACTCAAATTAAAATACATGTTGGTGACATTGTAGAAATTAATGAAGTAGAAGAAGGTCAAGCCTATGCTATTATTAAGGCTATTTTTAGACATAAAGCAAATAATGGCAATTTTTATTCTTTTTTAATTTTACAATGGTTTGAATACTCAGGATATAATGAAAGGTATTTAAAATGTCCTTTATATTATCTGCAAAAACCGGATGAAAAAAAATGGTTTAAAGTATTTCCTGTAAGCTATGTTAATAAAATACCCAAGAATCATTTTATTCATGCTTGTACTAATAGTTGTGTTGGAAATAGTCATGATAGTAACAATTGAAAATATTTAAAAAATATTTTTTATTATGATGTAATATAATTTGTTAAATTTAGCAAATAATTTTAATAAATATAACAACAAATCATTTAATACTTATAATCTTAATATAACTATTTATATACGAACAAGCAGAAATAAGAAAATTAATTTAAAATCTTGAATATGAGAATATAACTAATCGGGTTCTATTAAATAGATAATCTAGCATTAAAGAAATTAGTAAATATTTGGCTTTGTATATTCAGTAACCTTACTAAAATAATATTTGAAAGTTAATTGAGTAATACAGTATAAATGCATATAAACTATCTAATATATTTGCGCTCAAAATATTGACTTTTAGGGTTAAAGCATTAATTTAAATCTATAATTATAAGTGGCCGGCTATTCTTAAAATATCGCTACAAGATATTCTTATAATAGCTAAAAAATTTCAGGGCTGATAAATAAAGCATTTAATAAAACATTATGACAATCTAATTAAAATCTCATAATTAGCTATTCGCAAACACAATAGTTCTAAAAATTTTTAGAAGATTATAATGATATCATTACAAGATATTCTTACAATAACTAAATTCCAAAACTGATTAATTAAAACATTTAATAAAAATATCATAACAATCTAATTGAAATCTCATTATTAGCTAATTATAAATCCAAAAATATCATCGTGAGATCAATATGATATTTATGTTAAAAAATCTTACGGTGATATTATTAAAATATAAAATACATATCAGAATTATATTTTTAAAAAATCAAGGTTTCTGTAAAGTAGATTTGGTGATTTTTTAATTCCATCTATAAATTGTACTTCTTCTGCATGTGAAAATAAAGACAGATATAATCCAGTAAATGACGAATCTTTTAAAACCAAATATAAACCTTTTGGCTATGCTTATTTCGGTGGAAATGTATATGGAATAAGGGGTACTGCCTCTTTTAATATTAGTGGATATACTCCAGGTTATATTTTAGGTCAGAATTTCGGGTTAGTTAATGTACTTCCCAAAAGTTTTGAAAATGATGAATTTGATGGTATACTCGGGTTAGCCACTTCTAATGAATTTGTAGAACTTGAAACTAATGTTTATCAAAATATTTTACATGATTATGAGACTAAAAATGCAATATTCTCGTTAAAAATTGGAAGAGAAGCAGACGAAATGGAGAGTGAATTAATTATTGGTGGCATTGATCAAAGTAAATATACTGGTGAACTTGTCTCAACACAGATATTCAGTCTCAGTCATATTTATTGGTCAATTCGTCTCGATGGCTTCTCTATCAATGTTAAATCATTAGAATTTCAAGGTCATATCAGAAAAATTGTTTCAGGAATATCCTCAATAATTGTACATTTAACGATGCCCACAAAATTTATCAGCAAATCCCTAATGCAATTGATAATGATGGAATATTCATAAGGTTAAAATAAAAATCGGCAATGTTGATTGGGATATTGATCCGAGAGATTTGATAGATATTCAACAATTAAGAAATCGAGAAACATGTAGTGGAATGATAATCAGTGGAATTACAGGTATTTATAAGCATAGCGGGCTTTCATTGTGATTGGCTTATTTTTGTAGATCGTTTCGTGATCTTCATGAATTTTTATTGGCTATTAAAATTAAAAGTTTGTGTAATAAGATTATTAATACGTAATTTAATTAATTTAATTAATACGTAAAATTTGTAAATCGATCCATATCATTAATCAAAAATGTCTGCACAAGAAGTTAGCTCTAATTTGGGACAAGAAAAAGGAAAAGGAAAAGAAAAAAGAAAAGCTCAATATTGTGATTTGGAGAGTTATGATGAAGTTGCCTGCAACTATGACCTCTATGGTGCTTCGATCATAACTGATCAATTAACTATACCGACATCAAGCCAACATTTAGATCTAGTTGGCAAGGCTTTGTGTCGAAAACATTATAACAAATATATTGTAAATGCAAAAAAAAAAAAAAAAAACTGAACTAACTAATTCATGCTTTCATCCCAAACATGAAATTTATTTAAGTACAGCTTGAAAAAATGCAGAAAAAATAAAATTCAGGTGGACGCCAGGCCAATTAATTAGTTTCTTTAATTTATCAAAAGAAGCAATGATGTGCCATCATTGCTTGTATAAGACGGATATTGATCCAGAATATATTAATTCACCCGATTATCCTCTACCAAAGGAAAGGATTCCAAAAGAAAGCATAAAACAATTTAAAGGTAGGTCATATCTTTTACATGGTGACGTTATTTACTCTGAATCAGAATTTCAGGAATTGGAAACTGCATACCACGAAATATGTGCTGAACTTGATGAAGCAAAATTAGGTAAATCGACAATTTTATTTGTAATTTTTTTTTTTTTTTTTTTTTAGCCCTTGCGGGACATCATATAATATTTTGTTCTAATTGTTCTCTTATATATTATTAAATTAGAGTTAATTCCTCTGGGCAAGAAAATTAAGCTAATGGCAGGGGTGTTATATATGAGGCAGCATGTATATAACGAAAAGCCTATTTTTGATTCTAACGAGTTCAAAAAAGTGCTTGAGAATTCTGAACCATCTTTAAAAGGTTTTTTTGATCAATTGGTAGCTAGAACAAACCCGAAAGCTAAGAGCCACATGACTAATAAAAAAAATAAAAAAAGATTTATTTTGTTATTTTCTCGCGGGTCTTAATAACAAATTTATCAATGGCATTAAGGCCGAGATAGGTCTTTTACTAGATATATCTGGTGCATCTTCATCAGCGATTGAGACCTTGGCTGGTGCAGGTCTAACGGTAAGACGTGAAACTATCGTGAAGCAAAAGGCCCAGCATGTACAAACGCATACGGAGACGGTGGAGCATTTTTAACGGAGAATGTAAGCGTATAAATTATATTAATTTTAATTTTTTTAATTTTTTATTATTTATTTTATTTTTTTATTATTTATTTTATTTTTCTCTTGATTTTTTTAATTTTTTATTATTTATTCTATTAATTGTATATTATTTTTTAACAGGTCGAAAATTTGGTTGTTTTAAACGTGGATGATTTTCATAACATTCACGAATCACACCGTAGTGATACAACTATGACATATAACACCACCCACTTTATTACGATACTTTTAAAAGCATTACCAGAAATAATTTCAATTCCATTTAATAATCCCAATCAGGAAAAAAGTATCCAAAATAAGGAGGGTATTGAATCAAGCATTATTATTGAGAATGCAGACTTACTTTTTTTTTCTAATTTATAGCTTAGCTATACAGGTCGAAAGAATACATTTTCTGATTTATTCGTGCAAAAAACTTATGACGAACGAGTCAAACATCTCCTAATCCATAGTTACAACGATAGAATTGAACAACGCCGGGTGGATCAAAGCATGGAGAATACAAAGCTTGTCGATTTAAAAGAAGGATTTTTTCATTTGACTGAAGAATATGTAAATGCGCTTAAGTCTTTAATAGATATTCCTGAAGCAGAGGCTTATATGAGGACACAAGTTTTTATAGCGCCTATGGATTACCCTGGACAACTTTATATACAGTGTGCTATCACTCGTTGTATTAAATTAGGAGACTCTTCTGAAATTCTGGAGCAAATTTTGCATGTTGTTCCAATGATTGGACCCTTGCATGTATTCTTAAATAGTTGTGAAACCGTGTTTCTTTTAAATTATCATTTTTTTGATATCCTTTTTCATGCAGTTTTTGGGCATAATAAGATGTTGGCAAAAAAGCCAAAGCCTTACAAAATTAATTTGATTTTAGAATTAGCAGGTCAAGGCTGGTCCTGAGTTCGT